GTGAGATTGGCACAGGATAGAGCAGGGTTTAGGTCTGTTGTAAGTAGGGTCACTATGAGTCACAAGAGACTCGACAGCACATAACAACAACAACAACAACCTTTGACATTGCAGCACAGCTTCTTACCACTAGGCCACCAGAGCACCATTACTGATGTAATTACACGGGAAAGAATATATAATAACTGTTAACGAAGCAAGGAGCTCTGGTGACCCTAGTGGGTAAGGAATTGTGATGCCAACCCACAAGCAGTTCAAATCTACCAGCTGCTTCTCCAGAGACAGATGGGCAGTCTCCTCCCATGTGACTTATATCCTCTGGAACCCTGCTGAAGGGTCGCCAATGAGTCTGTCTAGACTTGATGCCTACGAGACAGTTACTTAGTTATTACCCAGCCAGGCATTTCTGAGAGTGACATAGACCTGGGCACTGCCGTAGAAGACTGTGGATCTGGTCTCTGCATCTCTTCACTCCCGTTTCTTCAGCGCAGTGTTTCATTTGGATACGTGGGGAAAGAACGCGTGAATCTCCACACAACATGCAAGTGTGGCAGAATGTGTCCACATGGAGAATTCCTGCTCACGTACAATCTCATGAGAACCTCCCATCAACATCAGTCCTGAACAGTATCCTGGGAGTGCCCCTAGCGCTGCTCAGAATCCCCACCCTGCCTGCCCCACACCCCAACACACAGCTTTAGGGGGGCTCTGCAATGAGTCGCCCCTTTCTCCTTCCCTGTGGTGTTGTCCAGGCTCTTCCCAGGCTCCCCCTGTCCAGCACAGAATTGTTCCCAGGAGTGTCAGCCCCAGTGAGCCTGTCACTCACCTGCTTTCCTCACACAGGACACCAGCTCTCTTCACACACAGGACACAGCTTGCTGGACTTCCCAGTCCCACATAGTGCTGGTCTGCCCCTCACCCAGGAAGTAGCGTGCTGTTAGTGTTGTTGCGAGGAGTCTGTGCTGCGGTGTTTGGGGTCATGGAGGCATTGTGGTAGAAGCAGGGTGCCCTGACCGCTGGTGGACACACAGACACACACCCACACACCCTGTGTACTGCTGATGTGTCCCTGCATGCCACAGGCAAAGCTGTCATCTTTCCACCAGGCATTTCTGATGAGAAGACGCAGGCTCAGGAGCCGTGCTGCTCGGACCTCTTCCTGTTTCCCGATGAGAGTGGAAACGTGTCCCAGGAGCCGGACCCCGGCTACACCTCCTTTCCACACCACCTGATCAGCGATGCCATGGCGGGCGGGCCCACGGAGAATGACGACTTCTGCATCCTTTTTGCACCCAAAGCAGCCACTCAGGTAATAAACTAATAGCATTTCAAGGCCATAAAGTAGCGTCTCAGAGAGGGTCGACCTGAAGAGTCATAAGATCTTGTCACCTCTTCAGCTCATAAACAGAGGCAGTTCCGGGTTAGGAACGAGGTCCGTCTGTTGTGTCTCTGAGAAAGTTCTGTCTTAGGAACGAGGCCCGTCCGTGTCTGTCTCTGAGGTAGTTCCGGGTTAGGAACGAGGCCCGTCTGGCTGTTAGGAGAGGTGCACGGGTACCTGTGATTCCTATCTGGCCTTCCTTGAGGGCAAAGACTGGAAGCCTCTTCAGTGGTTTATAAGCCACTTGAGCCACAAACAGAGATGATTGTAGTGAAATACTTGTAGGGTGTAGCAAATTTTGCTATGAACACAAAGGCAACGGCTTGGATCTAGCAGCAGTTCTGCTGGTGAAAGATGAACGTCTCCTCCCCTGTGTCTTACAGCCTCAGAGAGGCAGTGACCAGCTGGCAGTGGGGGATGTGAGGGAGTCAAGGGACAGTCACTGGTGTCCCCCTCCAACAGAGGGAAGAAGAGGAAAGATACAGTCAGTCCAAAGGACGAGCTGGCCACGCCAGCCCCAACTCCACCTCCCTGAGACCCAGCAACCAGATGGTGCCCACCACAGGGCTGCCCCTCCAGAGGGGAGCACAACAGAAAGTCCCGCAGAGTGTCAGCAGAAAGTGTGGAGCAGATCTCAGAAACACGGAGAGAGCCAGTGTATTGTCTAATAGACTCTGGTGGAACCCCAAGAGCTGGTCCTTTGTCCCCCATCAAACCCTTAACAGAGCTCCCCATCACTCAGCTGTCAGCCACACAGTGGACAGGCCTGCAGCTCGCCTGTGATGGAGAACTCTGGCTAGGTCCTCACTCCTGAGAACAGTGAACACATCTGCCCAGAGCGGGGAGTGAGGGGAACTCACAATGCAAGAGACCGGGATAGAGGACAGATGGAAGGATGGATGGATGGATGGACGGACGGACGGACAGACGGATAGATGATGGATGGATGATGGATGGATGAAGGATGGATGGAGCATGGATGGATAGGTGGGTGGATGGATGGACAGACGGATGGCTAGATGGATGGCTAGATGGAGGGTGGATGGCTGGACAGATGGATGGATGATGGATAGATGGATGGTGGATGGATGGATGGATGATGGACGGATGGATAGATGATGGATGGATGGACGGATGGATAGATGATGGATGGAGGAGAGGACCTGGGGAAGAGAGGAGAGGAATGTGCTCACATTGCAAGGATTGTAGAAAGGTCTGTGAATTGCCAGATGAAAACAATTAGCTTTGTAAACTTAAATCACAATGAAAAAGGAAATGAAACAAAGTATGTCAAGGTTTTGTTTCGAGTGCAGCGCTGAGTGTGAGTTAAAATACCAGTACACATGTGCATATGCACACACACATCCCAGCAGACACATGTGGGATGTGTGCCTGCCTCTTGTCTAACAAGTCGTAGCATCTGCTATAGACAAGAGTCCTCCAGGGGGTGGTTTTCACAGCCCAGAACCGGGTTCCAGTCTGTGGTCGCTGCACTGAATGCGGTGGTGATGACTGTCGTCACTAGTCCTCGTCCCGACCACTCTGCGTGTTCTGAGGGCAGATGGAGAGGCTCATGGCAGAGCCTCCTGACCCGTGTCTCCCCAGAGAGCTGAGGGCGCCCGCTGTCTGTCCATTTCAGGAGAAGGAAGAAGAGCCAGTGGTGAGAGTCATGGTTGACGATGCCATTGTGATAAGAGACAATTATTTCAGCCTGCCGGTCAAGAAGGCGGACAGCAGCAAGGGCCCGGTGCGCTTCCCGCTTCCGGTCATCCGCTACGTGGTCAAGGAGGTCTCTCTCGTGTGGCATCTCTATGGAGGAAAGGATTTCGGAACTGCCCCTCCCTCCTCTCCAGCTAAAAGTCATGTGTAAGTTAAAGCCTCTGGAAGTCTCCTTGGCCAACCAGTATCATCTTTTTACAGGAAAAATTTCAGTTTATCATTTAAGCATTAATAAAGGCCTGTAGAAACACTTCCTTTAAATGCTGTACTTTCCACTCCCCGTTTGTGCATTCATTTGCACGGATTGTGTTTCAGTTACTGGAATCTCCCATAGGGCTGCCTTGGGGGCATTCTTACACAGCCCTAGAGGCCTTGGACCTAGCGGGCAGTGTGTGCACCAGGGGGACGGAAACTGCCACTGAGTGACCTGGCAGAACAAGTCCGGAGGACGGAGCGACCTGGGGGTGGAGCGGATGGAGCGGCCAGGGAGTGGGGAGAGAGGGCCCAGGCTCCTCCCGCAGTGGACAGGGTCAGACGGGGCTCCCCCAGGAGCTATGAGGCTCGCCCAGGAACTAACATTTAGCAGGATAGTTTAGCAGCTTTGTTTTCTATTAAAGATAGTCTGGAGAAAACCTTCAGACTTTCTTCTCTTTTTTTTTAAGTTGTATAATGTTTGGTTGATTATTTTTTATTTTAGCCTCTTATTTAGAGCAGACTTTATTGTCTTTTAAATTTCTTGGGTTTCAGATGCTCTGCTGGTGAAGGAGGGACAATCTCTTCCTGTACCAGTCAGATCTGATTTGACGATACACACACAAAACAGTAATATTAATAAAAAAAAATTGAAAAAAATGACTTGGGCTTGCATGAGAAGCAGTTCCCACAACCAGTGACTTAAACCCATGGTCATTTCATGTAAGCCCTCAGTTTGGAAGGAGAGAGCCCTCTCAGATGTCACAGGGCCCTGCTCTTTCTGAAGCCCCAGGCCCTCATCCTGCCTCTTCTGTTATGGGACCCTGGGGACAGCAGCATCTTAGGCCCACTGCAGTCCTGGCCCCTCGGCCGACAGGGAACACCCGCAGATGGCAGATGTCACAGCTCTGCTTTGAGTTGTGGTAACCGGACCTGACAGCATCAGATCCTTCTGTGACATTTTTCTTCTCACGTGTTATTTTCCTGGGGGGTGGGGGTGCACAGACCTCCATGGCTGTCCTTTTATCAGAAGGGGGTTTGACTGTGCTTTCTCTGCAGGAGCCCCCACAGCTCCCCCTCTCACACCCCCACACGTCACGGGCGGAGCGCAGTGTGTGGGGGCAGAGGCCGGAACCAGGACTTGCTCATGGAAATACAGCTCAGCAAGGTGAGGGAGCACGGAGTAAATGCACTGAGTGGACTTCGGGGCCCCTGTGCCGCCCTTCATCTCGAGCCTCTGGGCTGGAGCGTATGAGCATCTGACAGACGAGGCCCGCCCGTGTCTGACACCCTGTGAAGATCGGGGTGTGCGAGGTCTGGTTTCTTCCCTAATGTTTCGGGAGCACCAAGAGTAGTGACTGTGGGGTTGCTGCCTCCGACCCCCCGGCATTTCTGGTCAGGAGGCAGGATCAGGGTCTAACTCTCTTACTGGAGCGCCCTTCCGCCTAGAGCGCTGTCAGGGCCCGTCTGGAGGCCATGAGGCCAGGCCACCCTAACGGTGTCTGCATTCTCCGCTCCTGGGTTGTACAGAGTGGGTTGCAGGTCAGAGTGTGTGGCGTCAGGACGTGGTGTGACCACACTTCCCTGAGTTGAACTGGAGCCGGGGCTGGGCCTTCAGTTAGGGTTAGGGTTAGGGTTAAGCTTTGCTTGGCGAGGGAAGGAACCTTTTACAAAGTCAGCAGACCGTCATGTAAGGCTGGGCATGCAGGCTAGTGGAGGGACCGGGACAAATCCGTTCTCCCGACGTGGGGCCCAGAGAAGCGATGCGCCCTGATTTTCGCGCTGTAATTGTAACACCGCCGCCTCGCCCTCCCTGCCCCCTGCAGGTGAAGTTCCAACACGAGGTGTACCCCCCGTGCCCGCCGGAAGGTGACGCCAGCCTCGTGGAGCACCCAGTCTCCCGCCAGGTGCTCACCGTCCAGGACCTGGAGATCCGTGACCGCCTGGCCACGTCACAGATGAACAAGTTCCTGTACCTGTACTGCAGCCGGGAGATGCCACGCAAAGCCCACTCCAGCATGGTGGGGTGCCCGTGGCTCTGCTCCGGGCCTGAGGGAAGGGTTTCCTGTGACAAGAGCTCTGCAGAGAGAGGGGAGCTGAGGGGTGTCGGTCCTCATTTTAGTGTGGAAGCCCTTGGAGAACTGCTGCTGACTGTTTTCTGCTCTAAAGCGGTTTAAGTATGCCGCTCGCGGGCTCCACTGGCTGGTTGGCACCCAGGAGAAACTCGTCTGTAGTGCCGCACCGGGTGTTGGCACTGGGGAAGGCATTTAAGATGTCTTCACCCTAAAACCTGAGTGAGGTCCCGACAGTCCACACAGGGCTTGAGAGGCTGCTGAGCGTGCAAGCCGGTGGGTGAACGTGGTCGTGTCACCCTTTCCGCCTGGAGCCCCTCAGGCTGCTCAAGGGGCTGAGACCCACACATGCCTGGGTCAGGGCTTTAAGGAGAGGGAACCCCAGTTCTGGTTCTGCTGTAACACGAAAGGGATGAGTGTCTCTCTTCTCAGTTAGTCTGTCTCATTCCACTCAATTCAAGGGACAGTGTTTCTCTGTCCTGTCTTGCAGTTGACCATCAAAGCCCTTCACGTGCGCCCCGAATCTGGCAGGTCGCCCCAGGAGTGCTGCCTCAGAGTGTCACTGATGCCACTGCGCCTCAACATCGACCAGGTGTGTGGTGAACAGCTTGTCGTGGTGGTCAGAGAGCGTCCTGCTGTGTGGTGGCACCAGGAGGGCTCAGGGTGGTGGTCAGAGAGTGCCCTGCTGTGTGGGGTCATTTGGGCACTCTGTGGATAGAAGTGTGTCCGCTGCCAAGACAGTGGGAGCACCTGAAGTGTCAGTAGTCGCTGCTGTGTGCCCCCCCTCAGCCGCACTCACTGCCCACACACAGCTCGTCCTTGCTGTTCTGTCCAGCACTGTGGCAGGACTCATGGTCAGCCGGAGAAACAAGGATTGTGTCTCCATCATGGCATCCAGAGAGAAGTCTTTCCGTCCTGGGCAAAATGACAGATGAGGTGGTACCTACAGAGAGAGCATTCACGAAGCACTGAGCATAGGGTGCATAACAAAGTCCACCTTCTCATGTCCTTGCAAGAGTCCAAGCATGTTTTTCTAAGTTATGCTCTGAGCAGAGAGTCATTTAAAACAATGGAAGCCTGCACAACCGGATGAATCTAGTGGAAGAACAAGTCACACACACCACCACCAACCCCCCCAGAAAATGTTAGAGAAAGCAGGGGAGAGTCTGAGCTGAGAGTTAGTCTCATGTGGTTAGCAGGGAGGGCCGCTGGACGCTGGCTGGGCTGGGTATGGAAAGGACAGGGTGGGAAGGTCGGCGTGGACCGGTCAATGCGCCGTTGTGCTTGGTGCTGTGGAACAGAATGGGCAGGGAGAACTAGGGCAGGGTGCTGCGTGCCGTTCATCGTTTGTTCCAGACTTTGTGGTGCCCATCAGGCTTGCAGAACTGATGGCAAAGCGCTGCGGTTTCTGCTGTGGTCAGTGCGTAGTGACAGAGCCCCTGCCTTCTCTCCATGTCCCGTTCAGCAGCTTTGACCTTGCTGCTCAGCCCTCTCCCCACCTCCTGCCAGCTCTCCAAGGATCACCGTAATCTCAAGTCAAGTGTGACCTGATGCTGCGTGTCCAGCGGGTGGGGGAAAGGACACAAGGTGTGAGTCCTCTGGGAGGGCAGGGGAGCAGAGGGGCCAGCACTGACAGGACAAGGCTCCCTGCGTCCCTCAGGCTGTATGTGCCAGACCAGGTGGTGACTCTGAACCACGCTCACCTGCTGGGTGTGAGGCAGCCCTGCCCTCAGGGCACTGCCTCCTGGAGACCCCACGGAGCTGAGAAGCACCCCAGCAAGAAGAGGGACATCAGGGAGGGCTTTCTGGAGGCGGTGGCACAGGAGCTGGTCTGCGGGTGAAGTTGGCCGAGTTCAGTGGTATAAAGGCGTCTCAGAGTAGACAAGATGAGAGAGCAGCGTTCTGCTCACAGCGATGGACTCTTCACCGTCGCTGCCGAACTTCCTGAGTGGGTTTGTACTCGAGTCTTGTGAAAGGAGGTTGAACCGCTGTCACTGACTGGACGCCTGCGTTCTCCCAGCTGCTGTGTGTGTGCTGTCCATAACCTCAGTGACAGACTAAACTGTCCTTAAGTAAAGGCGTGCTTACAGGCCTTTTATGGAAGGCCTGGAGAGAACTATAAAGTTACACATAAATAACTAACCAAGTGCTGAAACTTTCCACTTGGCTGCGTTGAGCCATGTTTACATATAACAAAACGCACGCATCACTAATATACACCTTGAATGTAGACATACAGGCAACAACTACCTTCCCCTTGAAATAGAAGACACTTTCTTTCCCGCTGGAGGTCACCTCATGTCCCTTTGCTCACAGCCTTGGTGTCACCATCACACTCTGCACTGTCCCCAGGTCAGCCCTGCTGCCCACAGCCTCCAGGCCTGGAGCTGTGCCTCGCTTCCTCTGCTCAGCTCCATGTGGGCGAGGCACCAGAGTCCACAGCCTGTGGGTAGCCATCTATTCTGCCAGGTCATCTGCTTAGATACTGGTCACCTCCTGCGGGGCTTATCTGACTGAAGTTGCTGTGAGGTCCAGGTGTGTGTGCGTGAACAGAGATTTCTGGGTCTCTGAAATCAGGCCATGGGCATGCTGAACCCCAGCATTCCCACAGAGGCCGGACACCTGTTCTCCCAGCCCAGTGGTACCGCTGAAGGCAGTGCTGAGAGCCAGCTTGGGAGCCAGCCGCTTCTGTCACGTGTGTGGTCACCGTGCTCATTTAAAAACTAGGTTGTCTGAGTGAGCTGTAGGGGTTTAGAATAATAACGAACGAAGTCTTTCTGAAAACTGCTTTCTAGCCCTTTGTTGTTTTGGGCATTTGTGATAGAAAACCTTGTGTCTTTACTTGTCTTCTGTTTTCAGTTGTTTTTGTTTTATATTGACTTACATACAAAATTCATACACATTGTGTTTTGTTTCTGTATCTTGTGTTTCACACATTCCTCTCTTTACATTGTGTTTCATAGTCTCATTCCCATACATTGTTTTATAAAATGGATCGCCATTGATCCATGCCCACCATCACCCCACCTTTTCTGGTCCCAACTGGATCTTCCCTAATTCCCTCAACCCCTCCTCTGCTCACATAACCCTGTGACCTCAAGAGCTCCCTCTTCACAACTCCACCCTCCCCTTCCACCTATGGACTTTTCTACACACCTTCTATTTTTACAATGATGGTCTTATGCAGTACTTGTCTATATGAGACTGAGTTAGTTCACTCAGCAAAGGCCTCCAGCCTGTCTCATGTTATATGGTATTTTTCTAAATCATTGCTGCTGACTGCTGCATAGTATTCCATTGTGTGAATGTACCACAGCTTCTCAGTCCATTTGTTTATTGATGGACATTTTGGCTCTTTCCATTTTCTTGCTATTGTGAATAACACATTTTCTCAAAAATTAAATACAGAAAGCCCATATGACCCAGCTATTCCACTGCTAGGAATAATTCCCAGGGGAATTAGACCCGAACAGATTGAACACCGATGCTCGTAGCAGTGTTACTGACAGTTGTCTTCTACAGAGCTGGAAGGTGTCTTGTAGACCTGGAGTTAACCGTTGACAGTGTTCACGTATCCCCCACCTAGTGGCCAGAGGGTGACATTGACACTGCGAACCAGAGCGCTTGCTATGCGATTTGAGCCACTGGGCTGTGACAGGACAGATGTCACAGACAGCCCACATGCCCCTGCTCGCTGTACAGCCAGCCCCCAGGGACTCTACTCCTCAGCCCACCCCGGCCCCTGTCGACCGCCGGCCTGGCAAGCCCGCGCCACCGCACCAGTGGTGCCTGCTAAAGGGTGTGAGCACTCATCTGTCAGCTTCTGGTGTGCTTGGAGGGCACGGTCACGGTGTGTATGGTATTTGTGTGTAGCATTGTTTCAGTTTAGTTTAGACTTTCTTAAGAGGAAAGATAAATTGTATACCAATGATTGTGCAAAGTACAAAACGTGATGTATGTGAAAGATTATATGCAAACCAACAAAAGAGGAGGACGGAGAACAATCAAGGTCAGGCAGAGTGTCCCTGGGTGGCGGGGCTCTTGCTGTGACACGGCTCACAGCCCATGAACCAGAGTCAGGTCTGGAGGGGGTTATGTCACAGCAGGTGCTGGGCCCCTCACAGCGTCACACACCGGTCAGGGCCAGGCCATGACTGTTAGGACGGGTGAGGTCTCTTAGGGTGGGAGCTGGTGTGAACGAGCTCACTGCATTCCTTAGGAGGCACCTGGACACTGTGATTAGCTTTGCGACCTTGAGCAGTTTAACTTCTGTGTCTTCAGCATTGAGTTCCTCATAGAGTTGTGAGAAATAGTGGCTCTCTGTCAGTGTGTGCCTTTGAGCGTGTGTGCGTGCACAGTCCCTAACACAGAGGAGTGGTTGTTAGGTGCTGTCAAGTCTAGCATGACTCACAGGGGCCCCGTGAGCAGTGGCTCTGAGCTCTGTCCTATGTGCCACAGAGTTAAGGCTCAGATGTGCTCACTGATCCCCAGTAGTGAGCAGCTGTCAGTGCTAACCAGCTGTGATGACGCTTCCTTTCAGGACGCCTTGTTCTTCCTGAAGGATTTTTTCACGAGTCTTTCTGCTGAGGTGGAGCTTTTAATGACGCCAGATCCAGAAGGTATTAGATCTGCTTGGTATGAAGGACTACACTGTTTTGTTTTGGTTCTTTTAGTATAAAATTTGTTTGTTTGTTTGTTGGGTTGTTTTTTTTTTACTTCAAAATAAAACACAAACATTTTTTCCAAAATTAAAATTAAATGCTAAGAAATAGAGTGGCCAGATTTTCCTTTCCGAGGGATGTTCTAATGCAGATGTCCACAGGACTGGTCTAACACCTGTCTTTTTTAAAGAAAGTGCCTCTAGTCTTTATTCTTGTTTGTCAAAACAATAAAGTGTTGGCTTGTGTTAATTCAGTTTAAATTGGTTCATGTGAAAGTCTTCATTTGACAGGTGAAGGCTTTGTTCTGTGTCCTTGTGAGCGGGTTGAGGGCTGGGGGCCGGGCCCTCGGGAAGTGGCCCCGGCCTGGTGGTTGGTAGGTGGGGGCTGGTCTGTGGAACAATCTTGGGAAGTACACATGACCTGGTGGTCATCGTGGGCAGCGGCTGGGCTGTGGAATGATCTCAGTCAGTGGGCGTAGGTGACCTGTCATCATGCCCTCTTCTCTCAGTTAAAAAGTCTCCTGGCGCTGACGTCACCTGCACTCTGCCAAGACACCTAAGCACCTCAAAGGAGCCAAATCTCGTTGTGTCCTTCCCTGAGCCAAAGACACCTTCCCAGAGCAACGGTGCCAACCTGGCGGACGTGACGACCTGGGAGGAAGAGGAGGATCCCACAGCTGACGAAGCACCGTTGACCGACCAGCCTGTGTTTTTCAGGTGAAGCTTGTAGACTGCGGCAGGTGTGGCGTGGGGTGGGTGGCTTGTGTGTGCCTGTGTATGCACTGGCCAGCGTGAGGCTTCAGCAGCTGAGCTGGACACTCGCCGGGCAGCGGTGCCCACCTTCACCTTGGTCACAAGCTGTGACAGGGTAGAACTGGTCTCAGCTGGTCCTGTGCCAGGAACCCCCTTTCCTCCTGGATTTGCCTTCAGCACTTCATTACCTCTTTTCCTCCTTCTGTCCTTGTCACAGTTCAGGTACCTCCCTAGGCAGGGACTCGGCTGCTTCAGTGGATGCCCCCATGTGACCCTGCATGTTGAGAACTGTGCTTTTCAGGTGCTGGGGCAGAGTTTTCAGAATCAGGGAGCAAGGCCTTTCTTTCTTCAGGGCAGCTCTGGGTGGGCTCTGACCTCCCCCCAGGGCAGCTCTGG